AGAAATATCCAAACCTGGTGGTCTGGGATAAAACCCAATTCCCGATGGAAATCCGGAATTCCGCCAATCATCAGTTGATGAGTCTGCCGCGAAAATAATTTGAAAATTTGCTGAAACTTCTGGAGGGAACGCTCCGGTTGAGATGCTCCAGCTCCATCCAAAAAATGAAGGTCATTCGAAACAAGCGTGTCCGCAATGAATTCGTTGCCCGCAATTTTCACTGATATCGCCGGTCTTATTATCTAAATATCGGTGAACTCTCTCTCCCTCTTTTTTTATTAACCGAAAATGCTCGCATGCTTTATGTATTTGAAAAGAACTATAATCAATAAGGAAGAGGAGCGATAGCGTTGATCGTAGTGGTGAAAAAGTTGCACTGGATGGCACATGGAAGGTTTACCTGCCGGTCAGACGTAAACTACTGTTGGCTATATTTGGATCAAAAAAGGGTGTCCTAGTGTAAAATGCAACAGGTTTGGGAAACAAAACAGAGTAGACGACAGTATTCAACTTTTCCAACAAAAAGAACACCCTTCAGGTGAGTTACGCCACTTTTCAAAACGAAAACGGTGGAAAAGGTAAAAGCGTGACAAAAACTAACAGTGAGAGAAACAACAAGCATCAAACAGTGCCACAGAAGTATCCTAGAAAGCAAGAGTACTGGCGAGAAGTATTCACTCTTATACCGGATAACTGCCACCTGTTCTGATAAAGCCATTTTTTGAAACAAAGCAGTAAGATGGAGCATACATTAAACTCCATATCCAGGATGACATTGTTACCGCCAGTGCTGATAAACGGTACTTTCTTGCTCAAGTCGCGTAAATACCGACTGGCAAGTTCCACATTATGACGGTCCTTGACATTGTTAACATAACCGATCACTTTACGCATTATGAGATCGTTATGGTAGACCTGTTCCGCACTAGTCAATTCTGCAATTATAGCAGTGATATTCTTAGCACCTTCTTGCTATTAAACCAGTAACACACTCCAACCAAAAATTACAATATCTACTATCCTATGCAAAATCTTAACCAAACAAAACGTCTTAATCTCTTTGACATTTTCCTAATCCTAAAATCTCTCCTTGAGTTTAATTTCGCTTATACTTAGTTTTTATTCCACTGCTCCACACTTCCTTGGCATTGGTAAAACTAATGATCCTTTCAAT